GCTCTGTTTGGCATGGCTTATCTTGGTTTATAAGGATTTCTTGGTTCCCTAGATGGAGTGATGGTCCAGATAACTGCTGAGAACATGGACTCTTTGAGACAGGCCTTGAGAGAGATGAAAGACTTCACCATCACCTGTGGCAAAGTAGATGCTGAAGACCCTCAGGAACACGTTCACATTCAATGGGTAGAAGATGATAAAAACTTTCATAAGGGGTAAGTAGAGGAGCAGTCACTTGATATTGGTGCCTGTTAAAAATTTCTATTGATCTTCTAAGGCCCGTGAGTCTTCAAATCAATAGGAATTAAAAGTCTGTGCTTCTGTTTTGAGTGATAAGATGCAATTAATTGTAATGGAAATGGAATTGAGATACCAGAGCTTTGGGGCATCCATTTAGAAAATTTGCAATGCTGTGGATTTTTTTGGCATTGCCGATATCCAGTTATTGGAAACCAGTAATCTGTCTCCAACTCTCAGTGCTGAACCCTGCACACTGTGGTCGCTTTGCTCTGTTGGTGCTTAGTTTGCACTAAGTAGAGTTGGAAACAAAATTGCTGAACATCAACAGTATCTTTAGACACTTGATAGTTAAGCCAAAAGAAAGGTGGATTTGGCAGCTGAAGTATTTATGACAGTAAAGTGCTGTTGTGATGGATTCCATATTTCAGGAATCAGCACCTAGAAAGGATATTTCTGTAGTTTTGGGCTCTCCAGATCAATCTTAGGGTCTGCAATCAAGTCCTGGCTCGTGTAAGTTGTGTTTCAGGTATTGATGGCCTACACTGAGTTTAGGAATGAACAGAAGTCCAGCCTGTGTGAAACACCTCATTACTCTGTCAGAACCTTACAGGATCTCAGCTGTGCTGCAAAGCTTTGTTGAGAACCTTCAGGAAGGTTCTTCCTGCACCTGCATTGTGCGTGTGACCCCTTTCAGGAACTGCCCTCTGATTCCAAGGTCATTCTCTTCTACAGAGGGCTCTGTCCAGCTCAGGCCTTGTGCTGAGTCACAGTTCACTCTCCTCCTTCCCTTTTGCAGCGTTGTGAGCCCTATTGATGGCAAGCCCATGGAATCTATAACCAGCGTGAAGATATTCCACGGCTCCGAGTACAAGGCCAACGGGAAGGTCATCCGGTGGACAGAGGTGGGTCCATCAGCCCGGCACGGGAGCCAGCTGCTCCCCCATTCACCACAGGAAAGCAGCACATGCTTCCCCACCAGCCTTTCCTGTGGTGCCTTTCACAGGGAGCTGCAGGGTGGCATCCTGCAGGATAAAACATCCTCCCACTGCACGTGCTGCTCCGGCCACTGCTGCTCACATCAGGGTTGTTCAGCATGGCGGGACCACAACAACACTTGCTGTGTTACACACAGGAACAGTTGGCTTCATTTGTCTTTGTGTTAAAAGCTGCCTTTCTACATGGAGACAAATCTTAATATAAATTGTTTTTTAATGAAATGTTATTTTGAGCCACTTTCTCTAAAATGTTGCATGTTATAGTGCTGTGGCATAAATCACTCAGAAACTGCTTGCATGGCTGATGTTGCCTGTGACTGTGCCAGCAGACAAATGCTGATGTCAAAGTATTTCTGTGTTTCAGTTTGCCTGCTGAGGAGGAACCAAGTTCCTTACTCTGCAGCTCAGCCCCTGTGTGCCCTTTTTCCCCAGGTCACTTGGGCTCAACAGAAACAAATTCAGTGACAAAAATAGCAGAGATCTTTGGGCTTGCATTAAGTGTAATTTTTCTGAACTTAAAAACCTGCTTTTGAACAGATGTTATTACAACCACGTGTCATACATAGTGAATTTCCATAGCAAGGCTTTTGACCAGATCTGAGGTTTCAGAGGATTATTTAAATTTAAATCTTTCTTCTGAAATTTTTTTTTTTCCTCCCTAAGGTGACTTGTCAACCAAATTTTCTAGAAACGCCAAGTGTCACGTCTTATGTTCCCTTCAGGTGTTTTTTCTGGAAAATGATGAGCAACACAATGGTTTGAGTGACCCAGCTGATCACAGCAGACTGACTGAAAATGTGGCAAAAGCTTTCTGTCTGGCTCTGTGTCCTCATCTGAAACTGCTGAAAGAAGATGGAATGACTAAGCTGGGTCTGCGTGTTACACTGGATTCTGATCAAGTAAGTCTTCAGTAGTTTGGGTTTAACTGGGGGGTTGTTCTCTTGTTCATTCCCCAGAAAAGGAATACACCACTTTAACCAGGAGAATGCTGAAAAAGTACCAGTATCAGATGCTAATCAGGTGCTGCTGCTGTTGTTTGGTATTTTGGGACATTTGTTGGAGCCAATGCCCAGCCTGAATTAACACAGGCTTGACCCCCACATGGCATGAGCAGCACCTGCTCCATGCTCAGAGAAGACACTTAATTGGCCTTTTTGCCAGCAATTACTGCTGTGTGAGAATCCTGCTCATCCCAAGGAGCTGCTTTGAGAAAAGAGGAGAAAAAAGAGGCTTCTTTTACTCAGGCAGCCACTGGGAACACAAGGATGCACAAAGACAAGTGGAAAAGCTGCTTTAATGCCTGCTTGATCCAGTTCGAGTTCCTGACTTCCCTGGAAGATGCCACAGCTCTTCCTCCCTTCCTGCCCCCTGACTCATAGCCTGGTGTCCTGTTCTTAAAACCCACTCTTTGTATTTTTTAGGTTGGTTATCAAGCTGGGAGCAATGGACAGCCACTGCCCTCTCAATACATGAATGACCTGGACAGTGCCTTAGTGCCAGTGATTCATGGAGGGGCCTGTCAATTGAGTGAGGGGCCAGTCATAATGGAGCTCATCTTTTATATTCTGGAAAACATCTCATAAGAGGACTTCATTTTCTGTTCAGACCTGTTCCAGCAGCAGTTGTATCTGAATCATTTGCACTTTAAAACTGGAAAATTAAGCTTTTGTTAACACTATTGGGGAAGGGGGGAGGGGGGTGGGACAGTTGTTCCATAATTCTGAATCTTCTATGCATTGTCAACAACCAGAGGATCAGGGCAGCTTCTATACTACAACATGGCTATGCTATCCTTGCAGCTAATCCACTTCTGTTACTGTTTAGAAAAATGCTCATGTTTAAAGACTTACAGTCATGTACTCTCAATGCTCAAAGGGTGCAAAGATCACTGGGGCGTAAATAAAAAGTGAAATTCCAACCTTGTACTGTCTGTAGATGGACATGTAAGAAACAATCAAGACCTCCATTCTGACCTCATCCTAATGCCATTTGTGGTTTTTCTGTAGACATTAAAAAAACGTTTACATTATTTTGACCAGATTATTGGTTGAAATACATTTGGAGAAGCCCTTGAAAGATAGGGAAAGATTCCCTAGCCATAACCTTGTTTGTCTGTGCGTCCAGAGGAGCAGGACAGGCATCTCTCTGAAAGTTACTGAAGTGCAGTTGTGTGTGTGTAATAGGCTAGTTTCCTTCTCCTCTATTTACCACAAAAGTCCGTCACTGGGGCAGGTTTCTGTGATCTCCTACAACAACTCTGCTATTCTGTACTTTGTTTACAAATCTGTCTGAAGCAGAGGAAAGATCAGCCCTAAAGTGCAGTCCCATCTTGTTCCTTGTCCCCAGTAGGTCCTGCTTTTTAGAGGCAAGTCCCACCCAGGGCATCTCTGTCCCCTCCCTGCTGTTCGCTGTAGTGTAACGCCAGTGTCATGTAACCCAAGCCAGCTTGCACTTCTTATTGCAGCCCCATGTCCAAGCTTACCTGTGATACCAGTGTAGAGTGGCTGTTCCTGCATGTTCTGCTGAAAAAGGCTTTGTGGTCAGTTCTGAACACGTGCACTCGGCCCAGTGCTCTTGGTCTCACCTGAGAGGGCTTTGGTAAGGAAAGCAGCTGCTCGTGTCTGCCAGGGCATTAAGAAGCTGGAATTGAGCATCAGCCAGAGGAAATGTGGTTCCATGTTCTTACTGTCTCCATGGAAAGCTGCTAACCAGTGGCAAGAGCTGTAAGCAGGAGAAGGGGTTTGGTTTGTTTAGCCAGTCATGCAAAGCAGCTCTTTTGAGTCCCTCCCAGGAAGAGGGGTGAAGGTTTCTCCTCCTGTCTAGAGCTAATTAATTTGGGAAGACAGGTGCTAATTTATGGTGGATGTTTGTGGTGTCAGACATTCCCTACTGCCATCCCTTCTGGGGGCAGCAGTGGGACCTGGTTGGGCTGTGCTGTGACAGAGTAACACCAGTGGCCTTGCAAAGAGAAAGGGAAGGGCCAGGCCCCTGTGAAACTGTGGTTCTGGTGATATATTTTATAGAAAAGCAGCCCAGCGTCTGCACAGAGTGCCCTCGGGAATAAATGGCTGCTGCTTTTCAAAAAACTAAGTATGACAAATCCAGTGTTCCAAATCACAGCTGGCACCACCCAACCCTTGAAGACAGGCCAGGGAACTGGGGCCAACTCCACAAACAAAAGCTGGCCAGCAAGAGGGAGCGCACTACCACACTTTAAAGGGTGTCGGAGCCAAGTGAAGCCTTCTCTCTGTCATTTGGGAAAGGGTGAGTGATTAATGCACCTCACTGAGTGGTTCCTGCTGGCCAAAGCAGGAGCTGTGACCCACCCCTTGCTCCTGCCAAGGTGCCTGTGCAGCCCAGCTGGACTGAGGCCACTTGATGCCCCTCTGCACCCTGGTTCTGCACACGCTGGGACACAGCTCAGCACCACACGGTGTAGGCACAGTTCCACGGCTGGAAGAGCATTCCAGAAACTCTGTAATAATCTTCCTCCTAGAGCCTACACTCCAGCTTTGCCACAGCAGCAGCTTTCCAGTTACTTTAGTTGCATTGTTATGCTTAATAATGCAGTAAAAGAGGTGAAAAATGTTTATCTTCTCTTCCTTTGCCCCAGAAGTCTTTTAGGTTTGGATTCTGTTTGTGCAAAACACTATCAACTGGTGACTGACATGTCTGCTTTAACCATAGCCTTTGAAATGACCTTAATTACCATGTTGTTAAGAAATGAGTACTTGTTTAGAAAAAAACTGTACTTTTAAAATTCAGTTAGTTAACACTGCAAAAAACTGCATATTATATTTTTATTTTCAACATGTAGTTTTGTATATTAAATTTATTGAAATTAAAAACTAAACACTGTATTGTCTTCATCTGCTCAGGAAGACAGAGGCAGAGCTGCCTGACCTGTCTGGACTCTGTTCTGTCTCCCAACCTGCCCATCCCTGGCACAGGCACATCCTCCCCTTGGAGATCCCTGGTTTCTGTTAGCTCACAGAGATTTAAAAACACAAACAGATTTAGTACCCTTTCTTGTATGCTGCTGGTCAAAAAGCGTTCCTGAAAATAAGTCATGATCCAGTTTTCTTGAAGGACAAAGTATGACTATTTTCCCCATCACCTGGAAGAATTGTAAAAGCCTATTTTTGTAAAAATACAAGGAACATTTGGGAAGCAGCAGAGTCTAGTGTACTTTTTTCTTTCTTTTTTAAATTAAAACCCAACACCATAAAGGATGAAGGCACAGTACCCTTCTGCGCTGGACAAGCAGTGCAGCAAGCACAGCACATAACTGGGAGCCAGAACAAAAACAGAGGTCTGTAAACACCAACCTGCTGAGGAGCCCTGGGGCCTTTCCTTCAGAAAGGGACAGCCCTTGGAACCTCACGTGCCAAGGGCGTGCACAGAGGAGGGACTGGCACCCCTGAACTGGTGCCTGAGAGCTCTCTGGTTTAGGAAACAAAAAAAAGATCCCAACCCAAAGAAGCCTGGATAGGAGAGGACAGAAAAAGCAGTAGCAGACTGTTCACTGAACCATGCCGGCTGCTCAGACACTTGGGAATAGGAATTCTGATAAAGATCTTACCTGTGACTTAACCAAAAAGCTCTGGCACTGCCTCAGGGAATTTTTAAGGGGCTAAACCCTTCTCACAGCACTCTGCATAGTTAATGTAACATTCGTCCTGGTGCTACATCAGTAGTCCCACATTAAGGCAATTCTGTCTATTTTGGGTAGACCGGTCCCAAGCCCTGCAGCAGCGCATTCCCAGAGCCTCCCGTTTGCCTTGGAGTTATTAATAAACACTATGGCTGTTATCAAAATAGACATTAGGTTCAGTAGTGCATTCATTTAACATCTTTGGTGCTTGCAGCTTAGCAGCATCTTCCTGCCTTCGCTCAGCCCACGACTTCCAACATTCCCATGGATCTGGGGAAAACAACACAAACGATCCCGTCAGAATTCCTTGTTGCAGCACAGAACAGATGTTCACAGTTCAAGGTGACATTATATGGAAAATGCTGACACCAAGGTTCTGGATGGTCAACGAGAAAAATCACTGGAGCAAAATTATCAAGCTCCAGTGATGGAAAGTGCTTGGGCACGAGGCCAAGTTGTTATTTCAGGTATGGCCATCAAACGTGTCCCTCAGCCTGAGTGAAGCTCATGGGACCTCCTGACCTCCTTGGCTGGGAGGAAAACTCTAAAACTGGCCCTTTGATACCCAAATGGTGACACCTGTACTGAAATGAGACCTCAGCCTCCACAGTCTGACACCATTTGCCACACCTTTGCTTCCAAACATGTGATGTAATTCTGAAGCTTATGAATATTTGCTTAACTGCCATTTATAAATGTTAAATGAAATAGTATGCTAGGGAAGAGGGAGCACAGAGGCTTCAGGAGATCAAGCAAAGCAAGATAGATTATTTATCACTTATTTTCTAAATAATATTCTTAGTAAAGGTGACACCAGGAGCTGTCCCTGTATTACAAGTGATTGTGAAACAGCATCTTTGAGATACAAACTAATCAGAGATTCTGTAACCTCATTTATGAAATGATGTCAACTCCCCACCACAAATATAAAGAGGAATGCTACTGAAGCCAGAGCTGAGTAATTAGGTCAATGCCTACAGAAGACATTATTCAAGCAGGGTTTATCTGTAGCCCTGTCAAGTCCTGCCAGACCACCTCTGGACGCAGCGTTCGTACCTCAGACAGAACTAACGCTCAAGGACCAGCCAATTTTCTGTAACTGTTTGAAGATCTTGACCACTGAGGGGCTCCCTGAGTCTCACTTTTACCTCCAGTTTCCCTCCAGTGGGCTTTCTGCCGTCAAAAATCTGAAACAACCACAAAAAGAAGAGCAGTTAGGACAAATAGGGATTATACTGTTATAAAGCCTCAGGCAACTGTGACTATTTGCCCATGGCCTGAGGGTGACAGATCCCTGCAGGTGACTGCAGTGCTGGGAGTGTCACAGCCAAGCACTTCCTCGGACTGGAACTCAGCAGAGCAGGTCCCCACAACCCAGGCAGGTTATCAAACACACCTAATACAAAACTCGACTGCACTCACACGTTTATGTGATCCAAATACTCATTTTCCCTTTGGGTTTAAGTACTAAGCAGAAGAACACACCTCATCCCAAAAACGTACCTCGATGATCTCTCTAACTTCACATTCTGATTCCAGCTTGTCCAGCTTCAAGTGTGCTGTCCCCACATGTTTGTCACTTCTGAAAAAGGACCTGTGCCAAAGAAATGAAGGGGTAAGGATTGTCAGAACATTTAAGAGAAAACAAGCCCAAAGGCCATCATTATTTGCTCCATCCCCACATCAAGAGAGAGCCAGTCAAGATGTGCTCCTGGAACCCCTGGACACCATAGAGCCAGAGACAAACCCTTAAAAACCAGACTACAAGGAACAAGATAAGAATGAACTCATTTGTTCATTATTCTTTTGCGACCAAAGTAAAGATGAGGATGGCAGTGAAGAAAAACGAATCAACTAAATCAGCACTTGGAGTGGCAGCAGCTTCTGTCCCTGCCAAGGTGACAGAGAAGGAGGTCCCTGTGGCCAGGACAGGTCCATCCTCTGCTTGGGGCTGTTTAACAGAACAGGCTGAAGGAATTCCCAAGGAAGTTGCATCTCCCAGCAAAACAACCTGCACCCAGCACCTGCTGCTTTTGGCAAAGTGCTTTTTGGAAAAAGCCAGATGAATCATTCTGTTTCATCTTGATAAATCAAAACAATTTCAGTAAATAAGAACATTTCAGCTATTGTTTTGATTCACCTACATACTGGTAGTTTTAACAGTCAAAAACTATAATTTTAGAATTTCCAGTCTGCTGGAATTAAACACAGAAGCATTTTTACTTCTACTTGCTGTAGTCATTTCTGTTGAACAGTTTAATTTGCAGTAAGTCAATCCTTACCTGAATGGAGACAGGTGTTACAACCCTCATCTAGACAAACTCCTTCAAAAAGCAACAGCCAACACTAAACCACCCTCACTCCAGAGCTGTTCAGCTCAAAGCACAGCAGTTCTTTGCCTGCATCCAAGCATCTCCCTGAGCCAGTCTCTAAAAGGTTTGATAAGGCCAAACCTGCCATGTTTTCTTGGAAATTTTCCAAGATTTCAGAAGCTTCCTCTATTTCAGAAAAAAAACAAGCAGCCAAATCAACAAACATAAAAAACCCATCCCCCACAACTCCAAAACATCTACCCTTCTTCCCATTATCAGTTAGAGATACTGAGATGTTACCAAGCAAGACTTGACATACACAATGGAAACTCGTTAATGGTGCCTCATGATCACACCATTGGTGGCAACAGGAGACTGAGACTCTCCATCAGTGAGGCCACAGCAGACTCACAGAATCATTTAGGTGAGGCCACAGCAGACTCACAGAATCATTTAGGAAAATTCAGAATTTCTTAGCTCACATACTGGAATACTTCCTTTACTTCACAAGCACCTTAAAATGAAGGATTATATAATTGTACTGCAGCATGTGAGACACTTTGCTCATAAACTTCAGAGAATCAGCAATTCTTGCTGAATTTTTTGAAGCACTTTTCCATTCTATAACTCAAGAAACAATAAAGACTGGTTCATCCCTGCCCAGTTCCAGGGGGTTGCTGTGAAGACTGAGAACTTGCTCTAGGCTATGGCTTCAGAAACAGCTCTGGGGAAATCCCCTTTCATCTTCAGAAGCTTTTAGGAGAGGCTCGAGAATACATTTTTCCTTTGGAAAAATACATAGCTGGGTTTTTACTTGAAAGTGTTGTTAAACTGAAGTTTAATATATATGACCTGAAGCAAGTCTCCTTTGCTCACTGAGCAAAAATAATTCTTGGGAGATGGTCAAAGTGCTATCAGAGACCCCAAAGCTACAACATCCACAAAAGCATTTCTGAAAGTTCATTTGTAGTCTTAGAAAAGACAGGGAGCAGTCAGTCTTTAGAGAAAGGACAGGATTAAGTGATCTAGACTCTTCTCCCAAGGAGATGGCTGGGAAAAGGTGATTAGAAAAAAACATTTTAAAGAAATGTAACCACTTCATAGCTCTGTGTAAAAGAGGGGGGAATCTTGAACACAGCAGCAGAGCAGTCAGGTTTGACAGAAAAAGAAGATCAACTTTTCAAAAGAGATTCCAATGGATGATCTGGAGTAGAACAGTGGGACTTCAGCTCACAAACTGAAACATCTGCAGCTTGAAAACCATCTCAGAAAACCTATAGATGACTTCTGCATGGCCCAGTAATAGCAACAAGGAATAGGACAAAGGGCCAGCAGATAAAAACCAGGTTATCTGGCATCCCATCACAGTGTTGGATCACAATCAACCCAGGGGTGAGGGAATACAGGCTGCTCCTATTCTGAATAACTCAGTTATGAGCCTGGAGTGAGGATGATCTCCCTGAACATTGTTAACATTCATCTTGTGATCCTGTTCTCTGAGCTGAGGGGAGTTTTGTCTCTCTCAAGGCAGTTACCAGCAGTGCTCAGGAAGTACTGCAAGATCCAATGAGTGAAAGTACAAAAACATAACTCTAGTTCTGCCATCATCTATCACCTGCTTTCCTGCTGTTCATATTTTGCTGCCACTTTATTTTTCTACAGTTATTCCACAGAATATTTAAATTTTCTAGTCCTGATGACTGAAACCAAACTGGGTAAGAATCAAAACAATTTGAAATAAATCACTGCTTTCTCAGCCTCACCAAGTCCTTTTAACAACTAATCCTCGACTGATCTGAATCAACTTCACTGAATCTGTGCCTCTCTTGACCCCCACAAGGGAAGCTGCAGAGCTCAGGCTGAAATTTTGAAAGCTCTCAGACATGAGTATGAGACAACTCTTCAGTGCTGGCTTAGAGATTGTGCTTCCTAAACTTCAGCTCCAACACTTTTCAGCTGTTAGTAGAGAAACAAACCATGGACTCACCCTTTGTGAAACACTTCAAATTTAATTCCTTTGGACCGAATTGCGCGTCGGAAGCCTCGGTGGTTCCGGTTGATGTTCAGCTTGAACAGCTGGTTGTACTCTGCAAGTGAAATAAAGGAAAGAAAGCTGTGAGTCAAATGGTGTTTAGTGCTCTATTCCTTGCACCTACTCAGAGCTCTTTTTCTCAGTCTGGCCCTACTGTTAGACACTTGACAGCCACAGAAACTCCTCCTCAGGAGGGTCTTTCAGTCAATCACAGGGTGTGTCTCTGTCCCACAATTCATGCCACCCTCACCTTACAGGGACAGAAATCAAAGTGCAGGAAAACCAAGCCATTATGAGCTGCCAGCAAAGTACTGGAGAGCTAAAACTAGGTCTTTCAGCAAGTAAAGTTTAGGTCTTCCAGCAAGTAAAGTGTTTGTGGCTAAGAAAAAAGATACAAAATATTGAAGAAAAAGCAGAGTAAGACTCGAATGACTAGGAAGTGTTTTGGATAATGTAATTAATACTGGTTTAATTAATGACATAATAGCTACTACTGACATTGGGATGAGGGGGAAGAAATTGCCAACACAGCTGGACTTCACCCCCCAACAAACCCTTTCATAAGAAGAAAAAAGGTGGTGGGAGGGTCTCAGGATGGTTCAGAGTATAACACCAGCCTGTCCTGTCCAGGGATTCCCAAGGTGCAACATTTTTTCCTGCTGTTCTAGGATAAAAAGACTCACCTGGACAATTGTTATTGTTAATTACAGGTGTTTTACTCTTTTGAGGTTGTTCCTATTAAAAAAAGAGACAGACATTACATAAAACTGTCAGGTACTGCTTGAAAACAGACTAATGACCATTTTTATTGCCAGCTCTATTTTATGCCTATACCAGAAACGTGAGGTTTTAGGGGTTGTCTAAATAAGAAGAGTCATGGTATATTCAAGACTAAAATACTTGCATTTCACTGTGGTAACAAGGATAATACTGGGGAAAGAATAAGCCAAAACATTACATTAAATATGAGAGCCATAGATGAGCTATACAGTCACAGTCAATTCAATCCAATCATCATAAAGTTACTGACTGGGGCTGTTAAACTCCATGACAAACTGTGCACCTTCCACGACACAGTAATTCTGTTCCTCCTGCATTAGCTGGAATAATAAGCTACACAAGGAATTCATCACAAATCATTCAGGGAATTGCCCTACTATTATTTTCCCTGACAATCAATCTGCCACCAAAATGAATTAACTTTTAACCTAAAGTGAGTACAAACTAAATCTCCAGGGAATGAACAAGGACAATGTGGCCTAATTATTTCAGCTACTTTACAAACTGATTTTAGCTATAAAAGAAAGGTGGTATATTTATTTGTTGGCTAAGGAGTAAAGATCTGTTTTTTCTTTAAATAAAGGAAAATAGATTAAAAGGATCTATGCTGATTCTTACTCATTCCCCAGAAAATTATTCAGCCCAGTTCTGGTTTCAGCCATCCTGAGTTACTCCTTCATTAAGACCTCATGTCATTCAAACCTAAACACAAACCTGGTCTGACCATCACCAATTTCCCACAGGTAACTGAATTAATTTTAGTGGAATTACTGCAAAATTTACTGGGAGGCAGAAACCTAGACTCTGCACTCTCCCAGGGCTAGGTATTAGTCCTGCAAGAGCAAGGTCTGGTTTTGAGACCAGTCTGTCCCTCCTCAGAAGCCCTTCCAGCTCTAAGCTTTGAGTATTTTTCAGACCAGAGACTGCTTTTAAAGGTGAGAGGAACAGGATGACACTGGGGAATTCCAAGGAAAGAAGTAATACATATGTGTATACATATTTTTATACACATATACCTACATGTGCATACACCTAAGTGTTTATTAGTAAGGGTGAGAAACTTGCATGGCCCAAGTCCTTTCTCCAGGTGTATATATATGTACTTACTAATTAAATTAGCATTTATTTGATGAGAAAGATTAACCTTTTCAATCCATTTCCACAATTGTAAGAGAGGCTCAAATGCAACGCCTTTAAAAAGCTGGGTTTTTTCACAGAAGAGGACTTAAGGAGATCACATCTAAGGTGGCCCTTGGCAACAATTTTGTGTGCCCTGGTGTTTGGTGTGTTTGCACCCCTGAAAGACATGAACTTTGACACATTTTGCCAAGATTGGAAAGAGCCTGATTGTGCCTTCAGGGGGGAGAGGTGGGCATGGCTTAGCACTGAGAGTGCTGCTGACAGAACCTGCAGACACCACCCTGCCAAGGCTCTCTTCACCTTCAACACAAGGTGAGCATCGAGAGAAAGGTGCAAAGCTCAAACCTGCAGCCAACACACTCAGCAGTTCTGTTTCTCAGAAAAATAAATCTGCTTTAAAAGCAGATCCAGGCAGGATGTCTAGAAGTGTCCTCCCTTTCCTTGGAGCCCTCACAAGCTCATGCAGTGGCAGGGGGGACAGACTGAGGGGCAGAAGAGCCACAACACACTCACCGCACTCGGGTACTGAAATTCAAACTTCACAAATGCATCCAAATCTCTTGGTGACACACCTGGGTGAGACAACAACCAGCCAATCCAAACAGCCAGTACAGACATTGTCATTGCATCTGTCACGTTGAGGATTCTCAAGAGCACCCGACTGTTTTATGGTAGGACTCATGTTGACAACTGAAAAACTCATCCATCAAACCAAAACCCATGGAGAGTTGGCATCCAAAGGAAAACACCTGGGTTTTTTTATGCTGTTAGTCCTAGGACAGTCTAGCACAAATGGTTTACAAGCTTCCAGGAACAATTGACTAAAAGCAGTAACACTGGCAGGAGCAAACCCTGTCTATTGAAGGGTCAAAATACACCAAAGTGGTGCAACTGCTAGGCAGGCACTCAAAACAAAACAAAATGAAACCTTAACTACGACCAGTTATGAGTGAACCCAGGAAAATTTATTTTTTTCTTCTCCCTGTCCAGACAGAACCCAGATTCTCTTTATTCACCTGTCTGCTTTTTTTAAAATACTGTTTAGAGATTTGGGGGTGGGGGGGCATGAGCCCAAAATGTGCTTATTTTGCTTTAATGAATGCTGGCTCCTAAAGTGGCCTTCAAGATAAGAGAAATTTCATTCCCCATTACTTTCCTTACCTACTCAGAGGAAAAAGCCCACATACCCTTTTGACTACACACCTGGTGGGGCTGGTAGGTTTATCCCTCTGACAATAAGAAGATGCATTTCTGTGCTGTTCAGATCAGAAAATATCCTGTGAAAAGAGAAAAACAAAAAAGCACATTCATCCCACCATCAGCTGATCCACTGCCAGACCAGGATTCCATGGCTATTTGTCAGAGCTTTTTCAACAGTGCCCTCCTACAGAGACCATCTCCACAAAATACAGCAGAGCAAGTGAAGAGCACAAACAGAGCTAAAAATATCTCTAAGGCCAGGAACAAAGCCCAGGAGGCAACAGGACTGAGGGAGAAACACAGAAGAAGAAGGAATGGCTGAAGAAACAGAATATAAGAGGGGAAGCTGGAGGCATTTTGAAAACAAAAGAATCAGCAAAAGGTTAGAGAAAAAAGTTCTTTGTATTTAAGTTGTTGAGAGTATCCTTTCAGGAATGCTGAGCCTAATCCTGGATGCCACCCAAGTTTGCTGAAGCCCAGAATTCCCTAAACAAGGGCAAAAGACCAGGAAAGTCATTCCAGCCTGCCTGAGAAACCCTTTTGTTTTTCCACACCTTATCATTTTAAAGGTTCTTTCCTCAAAGTGATGGCTTGGAGGATCCATTCCTTGTGCTCGTGCAAGCTGTAGGATCTCCATGTCCTTTTTACAACCTTGTGCCAGTTTCTCAAACCTATAGAAAAAGGCAAAAAAAAAAAAAAAAAAAAAAAAAGGTAAAAAAGCCACACAAGCCAGAAATCAAAGAGAGCACAGAGTAACCCTCAGACAGAGCTGAGAGCATGTGTCCCAACCCTTTCACGCAAGGATAAATGTACCAACTCAAACCCCAAGATCTTTAGGGGGGTCAGGCAGACTCAAACCTGAAATAACTGCTTTGGGGGATGATGGAAAGCAGGCACTGGGTCTTACCGAGTTGTTTCTGCTACGTTTCCCAGATGCATGAATTGCTTGGAATACTGCAAACACCTCTGGTAACACAAACAAAACCAAACACATACTCAGTGATCCTCACACACAGATTCATGACTGGCACTGTTCTGAAATTGATGACTATTTAATTTAAGCAAAAACAGGCATTTTCCCAAATCACTCAAGAACATTCATTACCCCATTCCTCAACTCCAAAGCACAGCATTTGTTTGAGCAGTTCTCCCTATTACTTTTTAATAACCTGATTTGCAGATATGAGGTTCACCTTAAGCCTTGTCTTAATATTCAGGTATTATTCTCAAACTTGAGTGCTCATGTTTAACAGTGATAATTTGCTAGTCCCTAGCCTTCAAGCACACCCTCTTGCTTCAACTAGCCATAGAATCCAGCCCTGAAAATTCTCCATTTTAGGACATGCAGTATCGAAAGTACTTTAAAATAAAAAAAGACTCCACTGGAACAATGATAGGATTATAGTATTAATGAACTCCAGAGAAAAAAGTCCAAAAGAAACTCTGAAACATTTCTAAAAAACGTAAAATGGTCACCTCATGTTGGTCCTTCAGCAATTTTACAAGCTGTGCATAAACTTCATCTGCTTTCTGAGACAGCCTGACATCTTCATGGTGTACAAAGATAAAATCACCCTCATCATCTGTAGGAGGTGATGGCAGCTGCAACACAAGAACACCATGTTTCAGAACCCTTACAGGGAAAAGTAAGCACTAAGATGTGCAAGAATGTGAAACAAAGCAGAATATTAACAGTCCTACTAACCTTGGAAATATCAACTGTTTTGCCAGATTTTGCCTGCTCAATCCTTAGGTCAAGGCCCTTTGCTGTTCTGAGATACGTCTTTGCCTGTTCGAGGTTGTTTTCCCTCTTTGCTTTGATGGCTGCCTTCAGGTATTGCTTCTTCCTGTTCTCCAGAAATTCCAGCTGGTCCCTAACTGAAAAACAGTTGTACAGGAACACTCAGTCACCTGACATAGGTTTACCATGTTCAGTTTACAGCCAGGAAAGGATCAGTGAAAGTACAGATGTCAAATTGGGACATGTCCTTACTGCACTCAACTGTTTATTGGGCACTTTCAATTTCAAGCATTAAAAAAATAAACAACTTTCCTTCTAGAACAGCATCCTTCATCAAAAAAACCTCACAGGTGTCACAAGAATTATTACAGCCCCTAATCTGCAGGCCTGAGAAAGAATCCAGCAGAGCTGATTGGTCCAAGGGAAAAGCTGAATCCAAACTTTCAGCTCTCCATATTAACTTCTAAAAAACAGCACATATCACGAGCATCCTCTGGAGTAATTTCCTTCCTCTCCCCAGATCTGTTAGGAAAGAACTCAAATGAACCAATGTGCAGGCCCAACCAGACATATCACCTCTGCTTCTCTGTAATCCCTTGTTCTCTTAGTTTCTGACTAATGCTTGAGTCTTTCTTTCCTCGCCAAAACAAGAAAGGACAACCACACCAATAAGCTTGCTTTACACTGTACCAGGTTAGTGCATCAGTCAGCCAGGCAGTTCTACTTCATCCTGAGGGAACAACCCAGGGCAGAAGGGGAGGAAGATGGGATTACAGTCCAGGCATCAGCGAGAGCCTGAGCACTGCCTGTGTGAGCCCAAACCACACTGTGAGGTGGTGGCTGTCCCTTACTATCTGTTCCATTCATCTTGTACACACAACTGCTCAGTGGCCTTAGCCAGGGAAGAGTAGAGACTGATGAACCCCTGCCTGCACTGCCAGCCTGAGCTCCTTGGGTGAAACACCAGGCAGAGAGCTCTGTCTGATGTAGGGAGCTGCATGAGATCAATGAATAATTCACACAGGCAACCCATCCCCTTTAATGAGAGTATATGGAGAGTTCAGCTGTGAGCAGAGTTAAACATTATGAATCGATACACTTGTTACATCAAAATTAATTAAAAACCTAATCAGCCTTATAATAATACATGCTGTCTCTGTGAAATGAAGCTGCATGGCTGGTCTGGGTGTACCCTCTAGCACACACATATTGAGGCTCTTGTCAGAGGAAATCTATGACACACATTCACAGGCTCACACCTAAATTATGATGCTGAAGTCTTCACCAAACTAGAGCAAACAACTTGCCTGTGGAGTACTGGGAAGGGTGATCCCTTCACTTACCAGCTGGAGGGAGATGATCCACTGACTCTGCCTTGTCCAGGGTGGAGGGTGATGCAGCTCGTTTCAGGTGCTCTGGAGAGCTCTCCTGAGCTGCAGCAGATGGAACTGGAGTTGGCTTAACAACCTGAGTTGGCTTTTTGGAAACTGGGGCCTGGGGGAGAGGTTCATTCTAGCAAAACAAAAAGAATTGCATCATAAATGCATAAAATCTATTCCAGGGTTGAGGACAGAATCTCAAGCATCAATAACCACGGTTATCACTGTATCAGCCTTTGGGTACTTCTTTTGAGGGGAGCATGGCATTCAAGACAGCAAATTTTAACTTTTGGAGGTTTATGAGCCATGCCAGACCAGCAGGTAGCTGAGCTATGGAAGCCATAGATGGAATAAAGGGAATGTTCAACAAGGCAGTGATTTTTAAAAAAGCAGAGGCATGCAGAAAAAAATCCAGGAATTCTCTCCATTAAAAGCTACTCCAGTTGAAAGTACAATCAACCAGCAACCAAACCCAGAGAGACAGAAATCAAACCACAGTCTGAATGCTGGTGCAGCCTGCCAAAAAGCAGTAAGTGTTGAACATCCAGGGAAAGAACAAACATAGGAAGCTACTGGGATGCAGGAAAAAAATATAGATTTAAGTACTTTTAGAACAATGTAAAGGAGTGGTGAGGATCTGAAGTGTTTGCTTTGAAAATAAAATCTACGTAAAAGACAGCTATGAAAGAGCTGAGCTCTGCACTCACAGACTCTGTAGCTACTGACTGTAATAACATCTCATCTGTCTCCCCTACTCTATAAAGGAAACTGAATTAATTCTGAGATCCTGTACTCCTCAGACTTTTGGGAGATGTATTTCACCTCACCACCCTCACCTGGAAAACCAATGGCCTCATCTCTGCATGCCACAAGAGATGGCAACTGAACTTTTACACATCCTAACAGACAACACTAACCTCCTCCTCCTCATCATTCTCCTCCATGTTGGCCAACTTGCTGGCGCTCTCCAGGACAGCAGCAATTGTGCTGCCACCATCTGTAGCTGCAACACCAGGAAGTGGAGGAAATCCTGTGAAAGAAAGAAGCACAGAAGACAGTTACGTAAGCCCTATGGTATGTCTTCCATAACACTTGTTTACTGTAAAGCTGCTTCTACCCAAATATCTATTATCTAATGTATTTTAGAACTCAGTCTAACTAGACTGAGGCCAAGGCCAAAAAGCCTTGCTTAACATCAGATCTCTCACAGATAACCAGCTTAAGTAGATGATAGTAAAATGATGCAATAACTGAGCAGTTTTCCAAGATGAGCAACTGCAGCCAGCCAAGCAACCTCGCAACCTCAAGACTTCAGTAACAGGGATGCCCCCAGAACCAGTAGAGAATTGAGTCTCATTTTCTCCCCTCTCACTGCTGCCTCACTTTAGCAGTCACACAGAAAATCAGTGCTACCCCCAGAGTAATAAACAATCCACTGCTGACAGCTGGGTAACACACTCAGCCTCTGCTGAAAAGGTACTGCAATGCAGAGGTAGCAAACTAAGGCAGAATCAGAGGAGTTAAATGAGAAGTGTAGGAAGAATAACGCTCTTCAATATTGTTATCCTTTTAAGGCAGGGAGGAAGGCTTGATGATGGAAGATAAACTCTCACTGCCACACAACCAGTTTAGTGTCAGCTTCAGAGACCCAGAGCCACTACCAGAAAATGTCTGTTAAGACTTCTCTCATTTAATGTATATCAAGTATTCTTGCTGCCAGTCTCATGAGAAGTGACTAAGTGACTACTTCTACTAAGAAACAGTGATTAAATTGCTTCAAAACCTAGAGATGGCTGCTACAGCACAAATTCAAGGTACTCAGGCAGGCAGAACAGCGTGCTGCTGCCCCGTGTGACATTTGATCCACTGCTCAGCAGCATTTCAGTTTCCAGGGAGTCCAAGGCTGGTACTCATCACCAGCCAGATGCCCTGAAAGGCAATGCCATACCAGGATAATTCACCAGTGGTTTCAGTGACTGCCTAATAATTGTCTTCAATGTAAATCACATGGCCTCTTAATGATGGCTGAAAAACATACAGCTGATGTTCAAGGACACTGAGCCGTTCTTCACATTCCCAGAGGTATAAATATGGAGAATCCCACTCTTATAGAAACTGGTATTTGCCAAGAAAGGGATCACATTCTCCAAAAAGGCATGCTAAACTGCCTTTCAGGGACAGCTTCAAAGCAGGAAACCTTCAAAGCCACACATGACCTGACAGCTGGCAGTGCCTACTCTACTACCACTGCAGTGCTTGCCATTGCCACATCTAACAGTGACAAAAATACCAAAAGGTCCATCTCTATCCTCTCACTTAAAAAATCCAGGCACTGCTTTGCAGTGCTGAGTGTAGCCTTCAGAAGAGCACATCAGGCCCAAGATAAAAGGAAAGATGTTTCCTAGGGGAGAAATGGTATCATGCAAATGAGGGTCAGAGCATTCACAGATGACCTTGCCCAAACCTTTCCAGACACAGCACTCAGCGTTCTGAAGAAGATAAACAGGACACAGTGTCTCAAGAAACAGGCTCAGCTGCTGTCTCTGCCACTGTCTCAGTGTGACCATGGGCATGATCTGCTTCATCTCTGCAGACTTTTACCTGCCAGGAGAGCTGCAATACTGATTTGGTGTTACAAGGAGATATTCATTAGATGCCAAGTTCTGAGGGTCCTGATAGGAATCAGGAGAATGGGGGACATCAGGAAAATTTTTTCACTTTCAAAAATCTCTTTCCAGCAAAACTAAGAAGCCAATATAACCCAAATTTAGTCTTTCCTCTAGGAGACCTGACACAGAGGATAGACAAGTAACATTTTTAGCACCTGCCTATGGTGAAGCTCTGGAACTTTTCAAAGACTGCCAGTTTTAAGTTCCCATACTGTCAAACAGGCCATCAATATGCAGGAATATTCACCAGGGTCAGTGCTTGGGAGCATATTAATAAATTTCACAATACCATCAAACAGCAAGGCCAGCAACTCACTGAGAAAAAGGAGCTGTTCCACAGGATGAGCAGGCAACATCTGCACAGCCCCTTCAAAGCCTAGCACATGTACAAAAGTTTGGGGATTTTAGAATGTTTTACATTCACACTTACCAGGAGGAACAGGCAGCTCAGAATAATTCACTTTTCTCCCTGCCTTATGTGCTCTTATGGCATCCTGGTATTGCTGCAATCAAAGGCACTCAGTAAGAAACAAAATAGAGCTGACTGTGAATTAGCAATCATTTGTATTTAACCAGCATAAACACTGTACAAGACTCAGTATTTTACTACAATATGTGCATTGTCTCTATTTCTTTCTCCGAATGCTTTCCAGCTTCCCCACTGGACCACTTTTCAAACAGAAAGACAATACACAAATTATTTCAGCCTTGGAAAAATCTTCAGCAAGAGAACTAATTCAAATGGCTTTGCTGGATGCAAAGAGCCACATTTTAGTTCTACCTTGGCTATCCTGTCGTGCATCCTGCCCTTCCGATCGTCCCCGCTGGCTTTGGCCTGAGCTGCTGCCGCCCTGTACTTCTCCAGCCGCTGCTGCAACGCTTCCAGCACCGTCTTGGGCTGCTGCAGAGACTCTGCAAACCACACAGACAATTAAATACCACATCATAAGGATTTCAAAACACACAAGGCTGCCTTTCTCCTCCCCTTCCTCACCTTCTTCAGGGAACATCTCTGCAAAGTCTCACTACAAACACTGCTGTTATAAAGAAAGTTTCATTAACTTTTACTTCCATCACTGATCCAGAACAAAAGTAGACTGGATTGGCAGCAAACAATACTCAGTAACATTAGCCAGGTTTACACAGTCCTGCTGCAGTTCAGTGGGAGAGGTCAGACCTTCAAGTGCTCCCCAGCTGTGCATTTTCATGACTTACTAGAGAAATGCAAAAGTCCTACCTGAAGCTTCTTGGGTCTGAGGTTCAGGTGTTGCAAGATCCTGGGAACTTCCCACTCGAGGTGGTACTTTTTGCTTAGATGCATCTTGTACATGTCCTAAGCTTTCAAGATCTGCAAAGCAGGGAAAGCAGGAAGTTTCACAGCATGTTCCACACACAGCAATTACTGCTGCATATCACTCAGAAAATCATCAATTTGACCACACCTTCCTGAAAGCTTTTTTTGCCTCCAAATAGTATCGCCATGGCTAGCTACATCTAAGGTTCCTATTATCCACAGAACATGCTTTATAACAGAAAATCTCAAATGCTGATTTAATTTTGGTTAGGGCTGCTTGAGGGGGGAGAAAATAAAAAAGCAAAAGTAGTTCAAGTATTCTAAGAATTCTCTCCCCAAAATATAACTTGGTATCTTAGCAGATGGAAAGAGTGAACAAGTCTTCTAATTGACTAAAATATTCTAGTAACAAAAGATGTGCTGGAAAAGGGAAGAAACTCATATCATCTATTCAGAAACTCTAGTTTCTGGTATTGTATAATATAAAACTAGAAGATTATTCACTGCAAAAATCTTAGACTTTTTAAGGCAAGGTTATGCCCTGGGTGAAGCTTCTCTGCAAAGCCATTTAGTGATCAGTAACTTGAGTCATGAATCTCATGATTTACCAAAATAATCTGTCATTTTGCTTCTTAGTATAAAATAATCCACTAAAGTAAGCTGTTTAAAACACTGGGCTACAAAGACTAAGTATTAATTACTGGAGGGAATACTGCATCTACTTAAAAAAACACCAAACTCTCTCTTATGAGAGCTGAGGTACCTTTAATATTGATAACTTGCTTTAAAAAGTAGATTTTAGTGCACTGCAATCTGTTTGTTAATCTGAATATTGTGAACTTTAGTTGCAGCACATAGCACCATCAAATACTACAGCAAATTTTAAGAATGTGCCATTATCCTTCTTTCCCTTCCACTTCAAATATTGGCTATTATCTACACTTAAAAAACCAGGAATATCATCAATACTTGTTTGAACTTGTAATTCACAGAAAGTAAATGCAATATAAGTAATGATACCTCATTTCTCTTCATTGGTGTTGATTAGACTGTCAACATGCAGTGAGCCTCAGTCCTAAACAATCTCCAGTTCTTTTAATAGCTTTGCAATCAAATGCAGAATCATTCCATTACATCATAGAGAGACTTCTGAAGAGTTTCCTGACTACAAGCCTTACCCTGAGGAGATGGAGGCATATTCTGGAGGTCTATTGGCTGCCCACTGTCCAAAGCTTCCAACACCACATTGAATTTCTAACATGGAAAAAAAAAAAGGTTTATTCTGCTCTGTTCAAGACCTGCCAGCTGCCACAGTAAGTATGTGACATTTAATGTACAGAACAGGGTATGTTCAGCATCTGGGATTTCTTGAGTGCATACCTTGCCTGTCTTCATGTACTCCTTTGCTTTCTCCAGGTCCCCTTGCTGCTTGGCTTTTAGAGCTGCTAATTTATACTCCTTCTGCCTCTTAAGTAGGATTGCTCGTGTGCTGCTGTGCTGGGGATCTGGGAGAATGAGACAATGCTGAGATTGACACAGAGCATGCAAGATTTTCATCCCTTGCTACATCCATCTATGCAAACCCACATTTGTTCCCTTTTGCTCTAAGTCACATCAGCCATTTACAAATATCCTTTCTCCTCCAGTCTCCAGAAGTCCTATCTAACATAATAATTCCAATTTTCTTCCAAATCTTCCCAATTTAAAGAAAAAATTTTAGGTCTTTAAGTTAGTATCTCAAAACTCTTTAAAGGCTGGAATTCCATATGTCAAACAATGAAGGAGAAACTGAGGCACAGGAGAAATTAAGGATACTGATCCAGTGCACACAAGAGCTCTAACACAGTAACTGATTCCACTGCCAGAAACTCAGCATTCCATAGACAGCTCTGAGACCTTTAGCAGGGAAGTTCCAACATAAGCAGTGCTTTGCTATACACAACACAAACCTCAGGGAAGATGCAGCATTAAAACAGGGTTGCAACTGCTTCTCCTCTCAGATCACAGTACCTGTTTCCACAGCAGGATCAGCAGCAGCATGACCTTGTAGAGACTCTGTTTCCAAATGCTCCCTTGCCTCAGGAGAAGCCTTCTGCTCGTCATCTGCAGCAGACTCAGCTTTATTCTCTGGTGAATCTCCTGAATTCTCCAGCTCCACTCCCATGGCTTGAGGTACGTTAGAAGAACTCTTTCCTGTTGCAACAGGAGGTGGCATTTCTTCCTCATTGATTTTTTTGCCTTTCTTCACTGCAGCCAGCATGGTTTCCAGTGTCTGGCACAGAAGGAACAACAGAGTCAATAGGCATTTTCATCAAACATGTTACTAGCATAATATCATTAAAAGACAAATTCATCCCCTTATATATGACAGGCTCAGTAACACACACCACCACAGACTGCTGCCCTTCAGCTCCCTGTTTTTCTGCAAGGAGACCTTCAGTGCCAGTGAAAGAAGTCCAGATACAAGAGAGACATAGTGCAAAGGCCTTGTTACCCAAACCACATAACTGCAGGTACCTCAGCACCCAGAATTATTGGAGATCTGCTGTGATCCACTCAGCTTTGTCACAGAAAGTCACCAAGGAAGCCACTTATACCAACTATAGATGGATTTTGTGCATCCTTAAAATATAATAAAATTTTATTCTGAAATGTCACTGCCTACATTGATCCAGGGAAGGAAGGGGTCTGCAAACCTATTTAGTGCAATGAGAAAAGCCATTAAATACTAACAAAGGAAATGGAGCTTCAGCTCACCACTTATGGTAAGGAGCTCTCACCATCTCTAACTTGGGTTAACTGCTGCTCATTCTTTTAAAACCCCTCCTCCACCCTAAATATTACCTTCCTCAGTATTTTTATTTTTTAAATTTAATTTGAGATTCAGACAAAAGACCACCATGCACTTCAAGCCAAAACAAAAGTTTTACTTTCCAAATGTGAAATGGCAGTACAGAAAGACAACAACAACAAAAATCTCATCGGTGCCAGAACCACTGCTATTTCTTTTTAGCCATGGCATTGTTTGACCTGTTGAGTAACAGTGACAGAGCTACTCTGAAATGACTGCATGTGAGACTGGGGTTCAAACCAGCAACCCATAGGCGGCTCCCTCTTCTCCACGTGGGGGTGACAGACTGAGATTAAAGTTCACAGTTCCAAGAACTACATACAAGAGAGAACTTTACACCATTTGTTGACATGTAATTTTGCTAATTAAGTAGCTGTGAGCTGTGAAGTGAGATCTGGTCTATTATCCTGTCACACTGCTTAGGCACAGGGAAATTCCCTACCCTGAAAAATGAAGGAAGTGGCAAAGTGCACTAAGCTCACTACTGGATGGAATAGCTGGTTTGCCCATTCCTGTGGCTCTCAGAAAGGCCAGGTTTCATGTACATTCCTGTCAGAGCTGGCAGGCAGTGGACAAACACAGACATCTTTCTTGTGCTTCTTCTTCCCCAAGTTTGGCCTCAATTGTTCCTTTTGTACCCCCAAGACACCTGGTAGCCAGTGAGCCATTACATCCTGCCCTGCTGCACAGCCCCGAGCTGTACAGCTTGCTGCTGATGCAGGAGAGCTGCTGAAAGCAACGGGGAGAGAAAGGCCCTGCCCAGCAGTAAACAAGCACTGCAGCTCACTGCAAGCACGCCACCTGCCTGGAACCATGAGAGGCTGGAGAGACCACTCTCTGCTGCAGTTCTGAATTGCCTAAATCAAAAATCCTGCTCTATTCCTTTTCAAGCACAGCCAGCACACTTAGGGAAAGGCACCTCCTCCCTCTGTCTGACAGAAATGAGTGGAAGGTTAGTACCTAAAGGAAGGCTGCAGTGATGAACTGCAAGGTGCACATGCTAGGAAAACTCCTAAACTTTAAGGTAACACTGAGCAGTCACCACAGGTCAAATCTGGATCCAGCCAGGTGGGTTTAACTTCAGCATGTACCACAAACCCTGCCTCCAGCTACCACCTGCCACATTCAACAGAAACAAAGCTGAAGCACAAAAAGCAGCTGAAGCCACACCTCATCTTGTGTGTTTGCTGTGTAAGGTGGGTAGCCAGTAACAACAAATGTCTTTAAAGTAACACCAGGCAGCACATGAAGGTTTCATCTCCCTGTCAACAGACTCAAAGGGCTGGGAAGACCACACGTCAGAGAGCTGGCTTTGCCTCATTCTCACTCACATCCTGATGATCTCAACTCACCTTCAGGCCTCTCTCGTACCGCCGTATTTTGGCACTCTCCCCCGACTCCTTCGCGTTAGAAATCGCCGTCCTGTAGTCACCAATTCTCCCCTCAAGTGTCTGTTGTAGCTCACTGGTAACAGCAGGAAGTGAGGAGGTCTCAGAAAAAACAATAAAACAAATCAAGAAAACTTATTTCATCCAGCTAGATGAGTTTTGCCACCGCACTGAAAAACAAACACTCCTCTTCTACACACACACTGCCGTGAATTGAGGGCAGGAAGGAACAGCCCCTAAAACAGAGGAGCGTTTGTGCTGTGCTAACGGTCCCTGCATCCACCTCTGGGCTCTCAAAAGCCTCACAGAGAAGAATGGGTGGAGAGACTTGGGAAACTCTCACTCACAGAGTAATTGGAGCCATGTGGTCGGTGAGTAGGTGAGGAGAACAGTGAAGTCTCTCAAACCCCACACAACAGAGGGTGTGAAGAGGTATTCTGGCACAAATCTTAACTTATTATTTTCTTATTTTTAAACCATGCTGGTTTGCTCCCCTTCTGGGCTTCAACCTGGCTTTACAACAAGAGCTCTTTTTCCTCCTCCTACAGCCTGGAATTAGTTCAGTGACAAAAGCAGACTAAGCAAAGTCATGAGTAGCTACTTACAAACTCTCCACAGCCACAGAGACCCTGCAGATGGCTCCTGATGTAATTATTGCCATTATCTCTATAGAAACCCTCTCAATCCCATTTACTAATGGGCCCAATGTACAGGGCACTGGAATCTGTGGCACACAACAGAAACATGCAGTGACTGAATAAAGCATTTGACTACATGAGGACTGACAAATGAAGCTGAAACAGATAATGGTATTGATAAAAAAACCAAAACTATGTCAGAGATGCTGAGTTATAACATGTCTCACAATTTCAGCACGTTGTTCAATACTCTTAGGGAGAAGATATGAACTCTGGAAGCCTGCACTGCAGTCTGAATGTTCCTATGTATAATGAGGGACAAGACATGCTTGACTCTCCAATTCTCTGCTAACATCAGAATTCATCCTTGGAACAAAGCAAAAGGATCACCTGCACCCACACAGCACTGGTTTCCCCAGCGGTAACTGCAATAATGTGGCTTTTTCTTCTTTGGAAGAGCTGCCTAGACTCTTGATAATGACCCTCACACAAGCCACGTGACAACACAGATTCAGCAAAACAGTCAGAAACACAAAGCTCATTCCTACCTGTGATTGCAGTTCAGGTAGTTCATCTTCTGGTTCAGCTGGGGATGGCTCTGTTGCTGTTATTTCATCCTCACAGCTTCCTGTCTCATCCTCTTCCCCCAGAACTTCTTGCAACTCTGCCTAAAGGTAAAAGTAAGAGCCAACAAAAGGCTTTTCCTCCACATTTTCTCTGTCCTCAAAAGACAGAAATAAAATCACGTCTAAAGTGTCAAAAGCTTTGGATGGATCTTGAACCCCAGTGAAGAATCTGAAAATCCAGTCTTTTAAATTAAATTTTATTTTTCATTATTAATTTAAACTGAATACCACCTTTCCAGAAACCACTGAAAAATCACACTGCAGCCCCAGGATCACCACACAAGTTTGTGGCTGGAGATATGAAGCTGGAGAAGTTCAGAGAAGTGCTTTTACAAAGATTATGCAAACCTAAATTTCAAGTTTTCAGAAAGCCTCTACTAGCAATGGCAGTCAAAACCACTGCTTAACGCTCCTCCCCTAAATCCTGATGTTAGATGAGTCACTGAAGCAACAAAGACTTTCTTGAGGTGCTCTCTCAGGCAAAGCACTACTTGAAGCAGTAGCAAAATGGTGGCAGATGTCACTTTAAGGAGACTGTACCTGACTCTCTTTCATCAGCTGACATGGAATGGGATTCCTGCTCTTCCCTCAATTCTCTAAGACCTCCACACATATAAATGTTAGGAAACCCTCTTACTCTGCTGTGCAGGGGGATGGATCCCACAAAGACTTGCATCTAATGGTGCTTTTGCAATATTTTAGCTTCTCATCACAAAGTTAATAGACATTTTTGCTAAATGCAGTACTGTTAAAAAAAACCCACATATTAAAACTCTTTGCTAACAGTTATGCATACCAACAGGTCTGTATCTTTCTCCAAGTCTTCATCATCTGCATCTTCCTCTTCATCTTCATTCAGGTCCTTCATACACTCTGCAGCCATCTTTTCAATATGATCCATGGGCAGAGGAGCTGTAAAAGGAAATCCCAAGGAGCAATAAACCATAAGGAACAGTTATGCAGTCACTGGGTATAAACCCTGAAGGAGCTGAAAGAGAGCAGTGACCTCCCCTCTGGTGCCCCCTTTATTGCACAGTGTTGTAGGTAACTGAGAGTATAATGATGGATAAATGGCCAAGACTGGGAAGTGAGCACCCAGGAAAAGCAGCACTGGGGTTTCTGCTATGACAGTCAAGGCAGGCAGTAAGACACTTGCACATCTTCTGCACTGTTGACTCGTGATGGTGAGATTCAGCCTTTTCCAATTTTTTCTTAGCTCCTTCATTTTGCAATTTTGCTTCTGGTCTTCATCTTGAAAACTCTAACTCCTCATTGCTGAGTTCTCATCTGTGCTTCATCCTGTGCCAACCACATCTTCCTAAATTATCAACTTCCTCCACATGCTCTCAAAGGTGAGGTTGTTTGCCCACAAATGCCAACTGTCCATGTAAATGCCTCTGATACTTCCCTATAAAAACACATGACTGTGACTCACCAGTGGCAGTAAAAGCTGCAAAAAATACAGATCTCCAGGACAGAGCTTTACAGTCAATTTAAACGGATCCCACTCACTCCCTGCATTTGCTGAATTAGCTGAAAATTAACCCAGGTACAAAACTGTTTCTGTTCAAATAATCTAATTCACCCCATCAGTGCTTCAGTATTTGTATCAAACACGTTGCTCATGAATTTGACCCTTACCAAACTCGGACTGCAGGCCATATCCAACAGCAACTGGCTGTGCAGAAAACCGCAGTAGAGGCAAAAAATCTAATCAAGCCTCCTCAGATGGCTTTTCAGCTCTAATCCTGTGCAGCAAGATGAGACCACAATTTCAAACAAGTGAGTGGCTGCCCAGCTGGCACTTATCAGAGAGAGCAGGGATCTCTGTGCTTAAGATGTTCCAACAGTGCAGCTTTTGCTGGAGGACGAGGCCATTCCCCCACATCTAATCAGAGCTCCAGGATGGAATCCAGGAGGGAGGGAATTACAGCACCTGGTGCTCAGCCAAGAACCAAGCACATGAGTTGCACTGCATCCCTTTTTCCTGTCCTTTCCCAGACAGGATCTGTTTCTCCCCTGTCCTCACTGCAGCTCCTCCTTTCCAGGCAGTGGCCTGCCTGCACCCTTCCCCACCACTGCACTGGGCCAGGGCTCAGGAGCCCCCAGTGCCAGCTGCCCAGTTGCTCATTCTCCGTGAGCTTCTAACCCACATACTTCCAATTCTAACAGGAAAACAGAATAGCTGCACATTACTTTGGAAAATCCTTCTGAACCACACATTTAGAAGACACAGTGCATGTTAGACATAGTAAATGTTAATTCTGCAGTGACTGATTTTCCTCATATGAATAAAAAGACTAAAACAACAAAATAAGTGACATGATGAGGGAAGTCAGCTCTTGAAAAGCTGACAACAATTCAAGACCTCCTGATACACAGATTCACCTCAAAACATTATTATGCACATTTTAGCCATGACTAACCTATGTCCAATGGCAGAAGTTCTACTATTATGCCTATTTGCACAATTATGCCTATTAGCTTGAAGAGTTTACTAACATTCTGAAATGTGGAGTGTGGAAATGATTTAGAATTTAGTTTCAGGTAGAAACATGTCCTTTGTCTATCATCAGCTACAATGTTTATAGAGTTGTCTTGCCAAAGCATTTCAAAATTCTTAATTTCCTTGCTGCTCTGTGTAAAGCCCCTTCAAATATTATGGGGAAATTACTGCAGAACTGCAAATAAGGCTGTAGGTGCACAATCCCTTCCTTCCTGCAGCTGCTCACACACCTGCAGGTCCCATTTTCCTTGTCTTACCTCAACCACTGGCTGTCACCCCAGCTCTGACAGACAGGGAGCAAACTTGCTTCAGCTGAAAAGCTCCCACAAGAACACAAAATAAACAAGGTTTATTTTTGTAGAGGAGTTCCTGAACCAGCTCACCCTGCAGCTCCACAAACACAGACATGCTCAGAGGCAGAGCATGCTCACTGGAGTGTCCCTCGCAGAGGCAGCCTTGTTTTATGGTAGATTACAGCAAGCCTGTAAAACACTGAAATGCTGCATGCAAACACCACCAGACAAAATTAACAGATACTGAAAGTATTAAGAACGGTAACAGTTCATTCCAACAGATGCTCTAACCTGCATAACACAAGCTACAGGATTCTCCAAGCTATTGCATCAGTATTTGCCTCTGAAAATGGGATTCAATTTCGGTTACAGACTCCAAGTAACTAAAAATATAATGCTCATTATGTAAATTCATTCTTCAAACTAAAACAGAAGAACAACCACATGACAAACAACTCACCCTCCACAAGAAACACAATTTCCCTTCTGAAATCATCTAGCGCCTACTACACCTTTTTATGACTTCATATGCTAAAAGAGCATGTCTTAATTTAGCTATTAAATGGGCCAGCCACTAGAGATATTTTTCCTATAGTTACAAGAGCATGAACAAAAAACCACTTTTACACTGTGGAGTAACAAATTAAACCTTTCAAAGTAAAGCAAAGAGCAGCTGCAAATGCAGCTTCTACCAGTGATTAAAGAAACAACCATTTTAGATAAAGATTTTTTTTAGATAAATAATAAATTCTGACAAAACTGTTAAAGGTAAATAAAATTCAGATACTTTAACTTACTTTTCACCTTTGGTTTTGGTTTTCCTTCTTTCACTTTTGCCCCTGTGATAGCAGCAAGCTCTGCTTCAAGGTCCCCATCATCCTCACCTTCCTCTGCACCCAGCAGCATCTCTTCAGGATTGAAATCCACAAACAACCCCAGCTGGAGCCAAGGGAAAATAACAATACAGAATAATAAAATACCCTACAGTTAGAACAAAGATGACACTCAAAAGCATTACATTGCATGGATTATTTAGACATTTTCATGCATTCTGAATTCTGTTTATTTTTTTTACAGGCTGCCATCGTACCACTTCTATTACCACAACAATGCATTCCAGGCACCCACAACTGGTGCAAGGTACATAAATCTTAATTCCCCACAAGTATTCCCTTTAAAACTCTACATAAACCATTTCTTAAAATCAATCCTATTTAATGGTTTGACATAACAAGGTAGAATAAAATGTTTGTTTTACTGAGCTTCTTGGAGTAGATACCACCAGGGAAGTTCAGGGCAGTGCCTGTAACAGCTAAGCTAAGAAATATTCACTCATCGTTCACACACAACAGGTCTGACATGTGCACACTGCAGAGACTTCATCCTTATCTTCTGAAGAAGCTACATTTATAAACACAGAACTGTTCTGTCTTCTTCTTACATCAGTTTCTAAATCCCATAGAAACAAACACAGCCATTAAAACCCAGCAATGCCCACACTGCACTGAAGACAACCATCAAACTGGCTGGCACAGATCAACAGCTACGAGATAACATCTCAGGGAACAGTACTAATAACAGGAATCAGGATATGATAGTAGGGGTTATCACTCTCTTGTGGCAAAACATTCCAAAGTACATCAGAGGAATCTCTGGAGTCTTAGACCAAAAGGTATTCTTTTAAAATGCCTATTTACCACATTTTTTTTTATTTCTGGTTGAGATACTAATTGTCCCAGAAAGTTTATAAAATCATCTTAAGTATGCTAAGATTTTTTATAAATATGAATGAACACAATTAAAATTCATCCTATGAGGTAGATGAAGCTTTCCTCAGACTTTTCTGAAGCACAAGCTTTGGAAATCAACTTAATGATCCTCACACGGCCAAGGAGGCAGCACTTCAGCTTCTCTCCAGCACAGGAAAAAACATCAGCTGTCATTATTCTGAGGGTTAGGAATCTCCTTCTGTCTCGAGGATCTGAAGTGCTGCAAGAAGCTGTCTGAAACTTTATAAATGAATGAGAATAATAGTATTTTTTTTTAACCCAGTAGGAGTCAAAGTGCCGATGGCTACTGCCCTGAAACATCCTGTGCCCTTCTTTGGACCATTTTATAATCCCAAAGGAGAATGTGAAACATAGAGCTGAGAAACACTGGTTCCAAGGACCAGCAACAGCACTCAAAATCAGGTGTTTGTTTCCTAGCCCTGATCCTGCCCTTGACATTCCCGAAGGCACTGGGCAGATCAGTCAGCCACTCTCTGCCTTATCCATCTCCCAGCTGTAAGGCAAAACTAAAGTATTTGCACACTTGGCTAGAACAGAAAGAAGGTGAGAACAAGATTTAAATAGGAAATACTTATAATGGTGACCTAAAGATTCAAGTTCTATGGAATACACATAGACCTTTCATCAATGTGCAGAATGGATCAGGAGCACACAGGATCTGTTCATTACCACTCTGCAAGCGTGGACAGTAAAGAACTGCAGCAACCATGAGAAGTCAAGAACACAATTCAGCAATTCTAGCTCCAAGTCCCAATACATTCAATAAGGAACATTTCCAACGAAATTAGTAGTATTAAAGTAATGTTTAAACAGAAGAAATAAGTTATAAAAAGCTTGCAGCTGATACACTACACAACAAGAAACCATTTTAAGTTGAATTAATTTGAAAGCAAACAAGCCGTTTGTTTCAAGAAACACTCATCCATGCTGTAAGACAGGCTGAATAATTAACTGTATTGAATTAGAAATTAGTAAAATATGTTAATCAGATTCTTGATTTACTCTCTGTCCTTTCAAAACGAGGTTTCTTTTTTTTTCCCCGAAAGGAGGAAAGAGATTTTCATCTTTTATCTTCTCCCCTGCTCAGATGAATTAAGTTCTACACCATCTCTCACTAGAGAAATGCAAACTTTCACACTGGGGCCATGGTGACATTATGGATCACTAACTGCAGCATTCTGCCATCAGTATGAGAACTCTGGTTCCTCAGAAATCACCAGAAGAAAATCTTAGCTATTTTCTCTATTCTAATAACCTGTTACAATTAATTTTCACATTTCTCTATATTCTTACTGGTTATTCCACCTGTTACTTGCCTCTATTCTACCTTCAATGGTTTCTGAAATTCTGTTCTGGTTCTAACATATTCTTTTAACTAACTACATTTTTTTTCTGTCAGTTTTCTACCCAGAATTTTGTCTTGACTGCATTTCTAATTTTGACACTGTCACCTGACTTTCTACACCTGCCAACCATGACTAATTATTGTTTCTCTCCATAAGACTTCTGAAACTCCATTCCAGGGTAGATAAGTATGGAAGAAAACCCCAACACAGAGACACAGTTAAACTCATTTATCTCGGGAAAGGGGCATAGGCTTATCAGTCTATCTATGAAAAATGACAAAACACAGGGAAATTAAAATTAACTGCCTTTTGTTTAGCACCTTAATATTCTCCCATATATGTCTCTTAATTTGTTACCTGGTATTCTGCTGTTCTTATTCCTGTTTACTTAGGAGACATAAGGAAAACTTCCAGAGAGTCACTGAAGTTGTTATTAAATCTCAACACAGCTCTGCTAAGAAATACTGTAAGCATGAGTCATGAGGTCTCTTGCAAAGATTACAGCATTACAACACCGTGCCTGCCCTGCGAGACCTCCACAGCTGCCTATCAGATATTTACTTGAAGAATGCACTGAAGAAGGAAGGAAAACAAGCACCGCACAATCTAATTTTTCCCATGATCCTGCAATGCTAGTAACACATGGGAGATTCTGCAGGAAAACAGCAGCAAGAGGTCTGAACGAGACTATCCTGAGGAGCAGAGGGAGTAGAAGGCTTCTCTGCCTGCTCTGCAACCACATCTCCCTGGCCCTTTGCCCTTCTTACCTGCTTTGCAACTGCAGCTCCCTGGCCCTTTGCCTGAGGGCTCTTTTTAGGTCTTCTGCCAAGCATGTTGGTTCATGAATTTCAGAGGGTTGTGTCTCTATAGGGCTGAGGGAACACGGAACTTAAAGTCAGTGCCCTGCCTATGCCAAGGCAGAGCCCGCCGGACGGAGGCGGCCGGCTCGACCCCGCCGCTTTCCCGGCCGCCCCTCACAGGGCTCCCGCGCCGTGAGGGCAGCGGGGGCAGCGCCGCGGGACGCGCTCCGCGGGGCCCGGGGAGCCCGGCCCGGC